AGTGCATGTGCAAAATACCATTTTTAAATCTTATTTAATGTAACCCTTTCTAGATTTGGGCTGATGTTCCTAGTTGTGCAACCCTTTTTGGATCTCAGTTCCCGTAATCCATGTCAACTCCATGCCAGGTGTTGGGAGAGCAAGTCAGTAACAGGTCCATCTGGCACAAGTCTGCAGTCATGTGTCCTCCTGAACCCAGGCCCTGTGCCAACAAGTCCAAATCTGCTTTCATGGTGGTTTCAGAAAATGGAAAGAGAGATAGAGAGTTCAGCTTGTAAAAGTGCAAACACTGCTTCCATCCCAAGACCTGGCAAAAAAGAACTTACGTTTAGCAGGTTAGTGGTAGTAGTAGCAGCCCACCCCTTCTACTTGGCTACCAGAGCACCAATACTCACAACCTCCCTCCCATCCCCTCCTCCCCATCAAGCAGGGATGCTTCCTGACTGACATCTGCAAAGCTGAGTCTCAGTTAAGACAGCAGATGGAGGGCCTCCCCTGGTGGCGCAGGCAGCTGAGTGCAGCGCTGTGAAGCTATTTGCAGCCTCTGCAGTGCCAGTTTGATCTCGGCCTACCTGCTAGGGTCCCACATGGTGCAGAGGACCTCTCCCGTCGCGACCTCTCCTGTCTCCCCTCTCCCCTCAGCAGTGTATTTCAGTCAGTCTGCCTGTTCTGTTCCCCACTCTGTCTCTGGTGAATCCTCTCACCCTCCTGCACATCTGGCCTGTACCCCGGTTCTTGTGTAAATGAATAAATCTTTAAAAAAAAAAAAAAAAAAAAGACAGCAAATGGCAGGGTGGAGTGCTTGGGTCTCAAGAGTGCCTTTGGGAAAGCCTGAACAGTTACCTGTCCCCAAGCACTTGTGGCTTCTTCCTGAGACTCTGGAAGTCAAGGTCTGCCCTCATCCAGTAGCCCACAAGAAAGCGTTCTTAAGTAAGGCAGGGGGGCAGTCATTAGGGTTTGGAATTGTGCTGGGTTCGAGGGCTCTGGATGAGTGTGACACTTCCAGCAATGTCCATGGGGGACAGAGCTGCCAGAATCAACCATGGGGTGGAGGGTGGGGTAGTTTTCCTGTGGGCCAGGGGTGGGAGCAGGACCCCACACAAGTGGGAAGATGCAGAACCTGGGAGGCCTGAAGTGGTTAAGTCCAAGGTGGGCAAAGGTCAGTCAGGTGGAAGAACTGGGTTGTCGGTGGCTCCTCCTCCATGTGGTGATCCCTAGTTGAGAGGACTGCTTCCCTTCACTCAGTTTACACTGGAGACTCAGGATGCCGACATAAAATTCAGCTCCTCCCCTATTTGAAGGGGCTCAGACAATCATAGCACAGTACCACAGGCTGGTGGTTCAGACACTTACTTCTCACAGCTCTGGAGGCTGGAGAATGAGAGTGGCAGCAGCTTCAGGTTCCACAGAGGCCCCTTCCCTGCTCAAAACCGGTTCCCTTCTCACTGTGCCCTCATTCGGTGCAAAGCCCCCAGCTCAGTTGGTTCTTCTCCTGTCACTAATCCCACTACCAGTGCCCTCCTAGCTGTGCTGGGGGTGGGGGTGGGGTCAGTCTTGGGTCTGCTGCAGCCACAGGGCTGTTCCACAGGTGGTGGCATTGCAGGAGGCAGCATTGCACCGAGCTGGATGATGGCTGCTCTTGGAGGACCACTCCAGTTGCAGAGAATGGTCTCCAAAGGGGCACAGGAAACACGAACCCAGAGAGAGACAGAAGAGAGGCTCTGAACTGAGCTGAGAGAGGTTTCAGAATGTTTTAGCACTGGTTTGTGTAAGCATGTTTGTTCCCTTTTGCATGGCTATTTAAATCTCTTGTACTTCTTTCTCCCGTCTCATAAGAATGAGGCTTCTTATGGCCTTACTGCCCCATTTCCTTCCAGAGAGGTACCAAACACTCTTTTTTCCCATGTTGGTCATGTTCTTCCCAATGACTGAGGTGGCCAACACGTTGCCAGCATGTCACCTACTTTTGTAAACACCTGGGAATTTCCGATTGGACACTGATCCCAAGGTTTCCTCTAACTTTTTTTTTTTAATTAATTTATTTATCTATACAAGAACCATTGTACAGACCAGATATGTGGGAGGGTGAGAGGATTCACCAGAGACAGAGTGGGGAACAGAACAGGCAGACTGACGAAATACACTGCTGAGGGGAGCAGCAGGCACGACAGGAGAGGTGTGCCATGCATGTGGAACCCTCGCTGGCTGGCCGGGACTGAACCGGCGCTGCAGAGGCTGCGGATAGCTTCACAGAACTGTGCTCAACCGCCTGTGTCACCAAGGGAGGCCCTCCTCTGACTTCTTATGAAAGGAAAAAGTGTATCAAATTTCTCTCTCCTCAGATAATTAATAAAGGAGGCCCCTGGACCCCTCTGCCTATGAGTAGAGGCTCCCACTTGAGAGACGGGCAGGCACCCTGAATTCTCCAGATCATTACCTGCAGCACTAACAACCCGCATGTCCCATGAAATCAAAAGTCAGAACCCATGAAAATAAGGTGTCCCTTAATCAGGTAAAGGCAGCAAAGAACACCATCTTTGCACAGGTAGTGCTAAGTACGAAGTGTCCTTCCTGCTCCAGCCAAGCCCACGGGCAGGAGGAATTTTGGTGACAGAAACTCAGACACTAATTCAATGTTCTCATGGAGAACATATCTGAATCCCAAGGAAAACATCAGGCAGAATCCCTGGGTTTCCTGATTCAGCTTAGAGAGCAGGACTGTTGATGGGGGCGGAGGCCTGTGTTCTTGCCAAGTACTACAAGAACTAGATAAGACTTTTGCAGTCTTATTTTAGGATGGATAATTTTGTAAACAGCTCAGTGACCAATCCACAGATGGCTTGTCTGGACACTTTTGTGAAGCAGAAGGTCACCAGGGACACAGACATCCCAGATGTACTTTAGGCATGTGACAAAGTGTCGCAGCCCAGTCAGTGCTGGCTCCCAGACAGGGAACACTTACCACACCTTCTAAGTTTCAATGGTGGACAACACAGTCTATTCTAGAAATGGGAAGCTGGAGTGAGAGGGTTCAGGAGCTGGTGAGCAGCAGAGAAGAATGTCTCTTTCCTAGCAGTGCAGACCTTGCTTGGCCTGGGGTGGGGTGGGGGGGAGGCGGTGGACATATCCACTTTTTTTTAAGACGGTAAAGGTAGAAAGTGTAAAGGAAGAAGGAAAAGAGTGATTCTAGCAGAAAAAAGCAGAGAAACTGAACACACTGTTTAACAGAAAGAACGTCAAGGTCCCAGGAAGCTTTAAGAAGTTAAAATTAGTTTCTGGATCCTGCATTCAGGTCCTACCTCAATTCTATTACTCAGGCTGGTCACACTCAGCCCCACCGCTCACAATGGTTACAGATAGTCCTATCACTCATACCGGTGATACCCAGCTACACACCCAGCTGGGTCTCAGTTTCTCAAGTGCAAAAGAGCTAACATTTATACCTAATACTTAGCATTGCTTTGAAGAATAAGTGAACATATAAATAAATAAATAAATAAACAAACCACTTAGACTTGTACCTGGTACACAGAGATAACTCAGTGAATGTTAGGTGCTGCTGTCACCATTTTTATTATAATAATTACACTACCACTCCCAACATACACACACACACTAGGGTGTCACTGGGTCTCCCTCTGAAGTCATACAACCCACCCTGGTCCAGCCCCTTACAACCAGCTGGCCAGAGCTAGTGCTTTTCAAACAAACAGATTACTATTTGACCTTGGGCAAGTGCCTCAGTTTCCTCCCTTGGGACAAAGGCTATATGCATGCACCACAAAGTCCTACTTTAAAGTAGGAACTACTTTAATGGGTAAAGTGAACAGTCTTCTTCTTTAGCAGATCATATTCAAAGTCAGGAAGATAATATGGACACTCTTCCGCATGGTACTCAGGTTCAGGCGTCCGAGACAGCCCAGGTTCAAGACTTCATTATGCACAGTTATGAGTAAAACAAATTCTGGGACCAATTCAAATATGAGCAAGAGGCTTCTGCCACATCTGCCAAGCAATTCTTGGATACTGGCAGGGTGGCCAATCACTGAACTCAATTATTCTGACACTACCTACCTGGAGATCATATCAGACCATCAGGTTAAGAGGTCAGGCTGGGAAGACTGCCTCCCCATGCCCTTAGACTAGCTTCAAATGCCAAGTGCAAGTCCAGGGTGTCACCTGTGCTTCTGACCAAGTGGCTATAAATCAGAGGTTTCCCAAGACCCCATCCTCAGGTTCCATTATTTTCCTGGAATGGGTCACAGAATTTGGAGACATTTTACTTACTAGAATATTTATTATAAAAAGTATAACTCAGGAATAACAGATGGAAGAGAGACATAGGGAGAGATAAGGAGAAAAGGCATAAAGGTTCCATGCCCTCTCCAGGTCACTACTCTCCCTAAATCTCCATGTGTTCAGCAACTGAAAGCTCTCTGTACTCCAACCTTGTTAGGTTTTTATGAACGTCCCATTATGTAGCCATGATTGATCGAATCATTAGTTGCTGGTGATTGATTCAACTTCCTCCATCTTTTCCCTTCTCTGAGACAGCACAGCAGCTTTCAAAAACTCACCACATTAACAAAACAAAGGAGAATTTTTATCACTCTCAAAACTTAGTAAATCCCAAGGATTTTAGGAGCTAGGAGTCTGGAAAACTCGAAATATATTTTTTGTAAATCACAATACCGCATTGGGTAATGAAGATGATGAAGTGGTAAATTTTTTTCAGATAATTAATAAAATTCATCTTTAAGCTCATTTTTTTGTTTCCTATCATTTTTATGAGTCTCCTTTTAAAGTATATACATTCCTGACTTAGTAGAATTTTGGCCAATAAACTAAAAAGACTCATAAGGCAATAAGAATACTAGTGAAAGGAAAAGATGTAAGACAAAGATCCCACAACGATCCTCCCTTCTTCCCAAAGTACTGCACCATCTTATCTATCCTGAACCCATAGTCAAGAAGTCTGGCACTGAAACAGGGGCACTCACCTGCTTCACAGCGGCCTGGCTGGGAGGTAGGGAGCCGTGTGTGAGCACATGGGGGCTCCCTGGGCCGCAGAGCTCAGGGAAGGGGTTGGGGATGGCTGGTAGAGATGAGGTTCTAAACTGCTGGTCTTCTTCTTGCAGGCACCTGGGAGGAAAGAGACAGCCCTTGTTAAAAGCTGCCACCTTCCATACAACCCAGCAAGCCCACTTCTGGGAATACGCCCAACAAAACTGTGAGAAAGTCTCAGTAGAGACTTGTATACGGTGTTCACAGCAGGACTATCCAGATAGTCACAAGTTGGAAGCAACCCAGGTGTTCATCAGTATGAATGGATAAGCAAAAGGTGGTCGAGCCATACACTGGAGTATTACTCACTTTTATCAAGGAAGGGAATTTTGACACATGCTATAGCATGGATGAACATTGAGGACATTATGCTAAATGTAACAAGTCAGTCACAAAAGGACAAATGGTATTATGGTTCCACTTATACGAAGTAGCTTTCACAGAGACAGAAAACAGAATGGTGGATGATAGGGGCTGGGGGAGGTGGGATGGGAAGTTATTTTTAATGGGTTCAGAGTTTCAGATATATAAATTTTCAGATTTTGCATGAAAATGTTCTAGACTGATTGCATGACAACATGAAAATATGTGACCAAGGGAACTGTATATTGAAAAATAGTTGAGATGGTAAATGTTATGTCATGTATTTTACCATAATGAGAACTTTTAAAGAAGGGTCTAGAATCCCTCCTTCATGAAACATCTGGAGGCAAGAAGCACAGGGTAAGCACTAACATCACAAATAATGGACACGTGCTCACCATTTTCTCCAAATACTTCACTGTTTTGTTCAATGAACACCTGATAGGTGAAGAACTTTTGTGGGTAAAAACATTTTCCTGAGAACCACTATTTTCCAATAACCATGAAATGAACACCTCTCCAACCACATGGAAACACTGGAAGAGAATCCACTCAGATTCATCTGCTTCGTGGAATGAATGTTTATTTATGCAAAAAGCTGCTGATACCCTATTATTGGAAATAAATGCTTTGTGTGTCTATCCTCACTGAAGCAAAGCATTTGTGTTGTCATCTCAGAGACACCCTGCAGCTCCCTGCTCACACCACTGGGAGCCATTTCTGAATCTGCAACCTTGCCCTCCTCACTGGCATCTCCCTATGGTTATTGCCTTCCTCCTTCCAAGAATACCAACTCACCTGCCATACAGCTAAGCAAAATAGACACAGGATGATGAAACAGATTCAATTGTGCAAACAGCACACAATTCAAGTTGAAAGTCAAGGGAAAAATAATTCAAAGTGCCGTGTGTTTTCTCTTTTGGGGATTTGCTGGTGACCTCTTGTTTACACATTCAGGGCTTTCCTAAGAGGAACCCCTCTTTCCATTTGAGGACACTGATGGGTACAGACAAAGGGCAATGCTCTGAAAGGCAGGCTGACAACACTACAGAAAGTGTATTTTCACTACTAAAAAATCCCACTGTTTGCATAAGAGCTTCTGCCCAGCAGTGTCCCACTGATGAAGGCACCCCTTTGTGTTACAGAGCACAAAGAGTACAGCCGTGCCCACTGCCAATGGACTCCTCCAGAACCTCTAACCCCTTACTAACCCAGAGAAGGAAGTTTTATTCTAGTTTGACTTCCAAGGTGCAGATGTCCCTAAGATTTTTCTAGTTGTTCATAAAGTCCTCTCTAATAAATAGGTTGTTCAGAGCCTTTTCAAAAAGTCCTGCTGTTTTCTAGGGCAGTGACAATACTATAAGATATTATAATGATGGGCCTCCCCTGGTGGCGCAGCGGTTGAGTGCTGGGTTGCGAAGCTGCCCGCAGCCTCGGCAGCGCCGGTTCAATCCCCGGCTGCTCCCCGGCCACCGGAGGAGGGTCCCACACGGCGCACAGACCTCTCCTGCCGCCCGCTGCTCCCCTCAGCAGTGTACTTCGGTCCTTCTGCCTGCTCTGCTCCCCGCTCTGGCTCTGGTGAATTTTCTCACCCTCCTGCACTTCTGACTGTACCCAGTGCTTGTATAAATAAATAAATAATTTTTTTTTAAAAAAAAGATATTATAATGATGGATAAATGTCATTATACATTTGTCCAAGTCCATAGAATATTTAACACCGAGTGAATCCTAATGGAAACTATAGGTTCTGGGTAATACATGTTATTGTATGCTCATCAGTTATAACAAATGCACCCTCTAGTGGGGGAGATCAGTAATGGGAGAGAATGCACATATGTGAGGGCAGGAGACATAGGAAAATCTTTCTCTCAATTTTGCTATGAACCTAGAACTGCTTACAAAAATTCTGGTCAGACACATAAAGCTAGATATGGATGTATAATTTATATGCAATATTAGTACAGCTTGGTTCTGTATTAAACACTGAGGCCTCTCTGGTGGTGCAGGGGTTAAAGAAAGCGCTATAAAGCTACTGCTTTGATCACCAGCCAGGGAGCAGCCCACATGGCACAGCAGACCTCTCCTGCCTCGCCTGCTGGTCCCCTTAGCAGTGTATTTCAGTACATTTATCAGTTCTGCTTTCCACTCTGTCTCTGGTGAGTCCTCTCACCTGCTGCACCTCTGGCTAACACCCCAGTTCTTATATGCATAAATAAAATAAATCTTTTAAAAAGATTTATTGAATTATCATCTGAATTATCATCATGCATCTGTGCAGATTAAAATAGAATATGCTCCTCCTCCTTCAAGATCTGAGTGCTCAACTGTGGCCTTATAAAAGTCTTCTCTCCCTAATCCAGCTTCAGCTCCTACCTGCCTTCATCTGAACTCTCCAGGGAGTTCTCCCTGTGTAGACCCTGCTCTGTGGGCCCCAATGCTCAGCATTTTATTTTTTATTGTTATTTTTATCTATATATATCTGTCTGTATGTAGGTATAGATAAAGATACAGTACATCACTGTTCATTTTGTACAATGTATGCTTATATATTTTCTCCTTTCAGGTGTATTCCCCATAAAATTCCCACCAATTCAACCATGACCCAAGACTATAGTCCCTTGTGCTCTTCTCACCCCTGTTTTGATCCCTCTCACCCATCCCCTGCAGAATGTCTCTGATTTATAACTGCCTGCTATTTTTATTTTTATTGCTTTTTTTTTCTGATCCCTTATTTGGTTCCCCTATATTCCTCCTATAAGTGAAACCACATGATATTTTTCTTTTTCCTTCTGGCTTATTTCACTGAGCATAATCCCTTCTAGCCCCATCCAAGTTGCTGTGAATGGCATTAGTTTATCTTTTTTGATTGCTGAGTAGTATTCCTTTGTGTATATATACCACATCTTCTTGATTCAGTCATCCATTTTTTAGCATTTGGGGTGTTTCCATATCTTAACTATTGCAAATAGTGTTGAACATAGGAGTGCAGAGATCCTTCTGAATTAATGTTTTTGCTTCCTTAGGGGAGATTCCTAGGAGTGGAATTGCTGGGTCATATGGTAGCTCCATTTTAGTTTGAGGAACTCTGCACAGCTTTCCATAGTGATTGTAGTCCTTAGCATTTTATAGCTCTAGCTATATTTAAGCTCTAGAGGCCCTCAGCCTGGGAATTGACGGTCACCACACCCCACCACCTTGGAGGGCTGCAGAGACTATTATACAAGCTAATATTTGACTGGACAAACTTACACACAGGACGTGCATAGAGCATTTAAGTACTCAGCATACACAGAAAAAGCCCAGTAGATAGACTCACGGAATAGCTCTTTGGCTATCCTATATTGGTCACCCCACCTTTTTTAGATGTACCTGAAGGTACAACATTACTGTCTCTACGAGAGGACATCAGTAAGGGGAGCTGGGTCTGAGGAACAAGGGTCTGATCTCCTGCACAGTCTCCTTGCCTGTGGAGCAGGCCTGCCCATCCATTCTGTGGGATTTCGTAGGGGCTGCCCCCTGACATAAGGCCAACTTCAACCTAAACTCTAGGCCAAAGGTTCCTTATCCACTAACTGGCAAGGAGCCAGTCTTCCAGCACTGTGATCCTTTGACCTGGCCCAGCCTGGGTCACTCTCAAGTGGCAGTCTTCCCAAGGCCTCCCTGGAGTCACCAGGATAAGCAATCAATAGACATAGAAAAGCTCACAGGAGAAAATTGTGTACCCCACTAGACTGAGCATGTCAAGAGTTAAGAACATAGGAGAGATGTTCCAGAGAACAAAATGGAACAGACATGGGGATGATGGATGTGACAAGAGGCTGAAAGCTGACAAGCACCTGCCCATGGACACCCAGGCTGCTGCACACCACCTGCAGACAGCAGGATACTTTGGGGGAAAGGTGGGCTGCAGAAGACTAGGATGTCAGGATAGAAGAAGCCTCATAAAAATTTCCAGAAGCAGAGTAGATGCCTACTCCCCACCCGCAAAAAAAAAAAAAAAAAAAAAAAAAAAAAAACAAGACTCCCAGAAGATGCACTGCTAAGAAAGCAGCAGCTCCAACCCTAAGCTTACAAAGATCCAGACACAGAGCATGGTAATACACACTAGCAACAGAAAACCAGGGAGGCATCTTTTTCCCCACCTGTCCTTTCCCCTCCACCCTCACCTGAAAACCTGTCAGAGCCAATATGGACCCCAGTATTGGATCCGAGGAGGATCTCTGCAGCTGCCACATCCTCAACCTGATTTCACAAAAAAAGTTCTTACTCACAACCCCTGCCTCCCTGACCTCTTTACCACCCACCCCTCACATACCTCCAAGGCTCTTAAGGCAGAGTCAGGAAGGCACCTCAACACTGTCTCCTCTCCCCTCCTAAATTCAGGTGCTAACAAACCCACCCTCTCTCTCCTATCTCAGGCCAGGACACTGGTCTCCAGGCTGGTTCCTCAAACAGCTTCCAAATCAGCCATGCCTGCCTGCCTTGTCAGACTCCATCCTATTGTCCTGACTCCAGGATGCCAGAATTATTTGTCAAAATCTAAATCCAAACTCCTTAACTCCTTACCTGCCTATTTAAATCTCACCACCTCCGATCATTTTTTCCTATCCGCCTTACTTTTTTTTTTTTTTATGATAAGAACACTTATCATAAGATCTAGCCTCCTACAGCTATTAAGTATATAATACATTATTGTTAACTAGTCTCCATGCTGTACAGTTACCTCTAGGACTCTTTCATTTTGCATAACTGAAACTTTGGACCACTGACTAACACTTCCCCCAGCCCCTGGCAACCACCATATTCCACTCTTGGCTTCTGTGAATCTGTCTGTTTTAGATTCCTTGTCTAAGTGAAATCATATAGTATTTGCCCTTCTAAGTATGGCTTAATTACTCAGCATAATGTCTTCCCTGTCTAGGTGTGTTGTCCACTGATGGATGAATGGATAAAGAAAATGTATATATTCTAATATACAATGAAATTTCATTCACTTATAAAAAGGAAGGCAATCCTGCCACTATCACAACAGGTATCAACTCTTCTTCCCCAAAAATATCCTTTCCCACCCAATTCAGAGTGTGGCACCTACAAGAAACTCTCTTTTACTTCACAGCAAGTCTTTCTCTCCAGCCTCCGTGTCCAAAGAGATCGGATCTCTTCTGCTTAGTTTCCTTGGGAAGGTGACCAAATATCTGCTAAGCCCCAGAGAAGGCCACAGTTCAGTCTCTGGGCAGCAAGACCTTGGAGCCCTGAATTTACTGTCGTACCATTCTTTCTTTCCCAAACATTCTCCTTTGATGGTTTCCTCATATATCCTTCCACCTGGCATAGCCTGTCATGGAACAAGTGCATAATTAACACTATCTGAACTAAACCAGGTACCAATTTCAACCCAGTGCTGCCTCTGGCCAGAGACAGGGAACATGTCTGCCTCTTCACTCAAGTGGCTAGCACTAGACCTCACCACCACTGACCTAGCTGACCCAGTCCATCCCTACGACAGTCTCCTCCTGTGCTTGGAGGCTCCAGGTCGCACCTGACAGCGAGGATGTGCATGGGCTGGGAACGCTGCACCTTCTGCCGAGGGGACACCTGCGGTTGGAGGGGCCTGTCTCCGGAGGGAGGCTGGCTGCGGGTATGCGGGCCATTCTGAAGGCGCGGTGCTGTCTCCGACTGCATGCCACAGGTAGAGTACAAACTCTCCAAGGACGCATTCATGTCATTCACCAGGGCCTCCAGGTCCACGTCATCCTCTGGGCATTGAAAGGCAAAAATGGAAAAAAAAAAAAAAACAACACTTTAGCAGCAGCAAGAGTTTGCAGCCAATGGGCATGGGTATCTTAGTAATCAGTTTCCCAAACTCCCAACATTTTGACCCATATGAGAGTTCAGGAGCAAAACTGAGATGAGTATAAATTTCTATAAGAAGCCATATGTGCTGTATGATATTGCAGGCACAATTCAATAATTACAGTCCAAGTGCACTCCCCTGTCCTTACAGGAGATACCTTCTGGGCCATATGCTCAGCTTACATGACTTCACAGTGGGCCATGGGGTCGCACCTGGGGAAAAATATGGTCACTGCCTTGGCCATAGCAGCCAAGTCACAGGTAGACAGAGCCCTAATATGTTCAATGAGGACTCCCTCCTTCTAAGAACTTCCAGAAGTGAAAGAAAGAGACAGGAGCAAAACAGAACCCAACACTGACACCAGCCTCCGTCTACACCACAATGGTCACCACGAAGGTTCTACAGTGGCTGAAGCCTTGGAGACAGACTCATGTAGATACTGATCAGACATATACTTGTGGGGCTCTAGGTGCCATGCTCCTGTTCTTGACTAACCTGAGAATCAGAGGAAGAAGCCTCTTGGTTCTTCACAGAAGAAGACCTGAGTCAGCTGTAGAAAGCAGTAACAATGGCAGAGTGCCAAAGAATGCCAGAGCATGCCAGAAAGAGATATTACACGTGAGAATATAGAACAACTTTACGTGTTAACTTGGCTGGGATATAGTACCCAAATATTTGGTGAAACACAGTTCTAGATGGTTCTGTGAACACATTTTTAGAAGAGACTAACATTTAAATCAGTGGACACGGAGTAATGTGGATTACCTTCTACAATCTGAGTGGGCCTTAGCTATTACTGGTAGGTCTTCCTTGATGAAGAAGAAGGAATTCAAGTTTTCAGATTTGAACTGCAGCTCTTCCTGTTGGCCTACCCTGCAGATTTTGGACTTGCCGGTGTCCATGATTATGTGAGCCAATTCCTTGTAATAAATCACACACACACACACACACACACACACAGGTTCTGTTTCTCTGGAAAAACCTGACTGATGCATGAGAACGGATGTAATCCAGTACACTCAGAGATGTGGGAGTGGCGCTAGGAAGGAGGCAGAGTTGAAACACGGGCTGTGGCCCAGCCTCTAGGTACTGATGCATGGCTCGGTTCTGGCTTCCCTCCTGTTAGGGAGTTCTGTAAAGCATTCCTACAGCCCTATAATAATTGTGCTTAAGTTAGAGTCAGTACCTTGTATATGTAGCCCAGTATGTGCACATAATACAGTCCTTTCTGTGTTTTAAGACTTTTGAAAAACCTGGCACAAATAGCTAAGGCTCACAACATAATTCATAGTCTCATTTGTTTCCATAACATCCCAACTGACACCTAGGGCTGAGGGCCCTAGACAGCACTCCCCTCACCTTCCCAAGGCTATAAGCTCTTGGATTCCCAGCCAGGAGGAAGGGAAGACAGAGAAGACACTGGAGAACTTGTTGATGTCCCCTCATGCCCCCCACACCTATTGGGTCTGAGACAAAGGGCTTGGAATTTGTTTCCTGGTTTCTACCGCTAACATGTGGTTATTAACAGCAAGGGTACCAGAGCGAGGGTGATATGAGGAATAAGTTATCGGCTGCTCTCTAACAGTATCTGGTACATAGTAAACACTCAGGAAAGTGCTACTTATTACCTATATTTTATCCCTTTCTTATAGAACAATATAAATAGTGCCTATTAACCGGGTTTGATAGCTGAGCAACTAGACCTAGAGGAATTAAGAAACTTGCCCAGTATCACATTAGTACTAAGTTGCAAACCTTAAATTTGAAAACAAGTTTATAGCTACTGATTTGACTTCACCAGGCACACAGGTCTTTCCATAAACCTTGCCTTCCTTGTCTCTTCTCTCTCCCTTTGTTTCAGCTTCTTTCTCCTCATAAGGTGAAAGCATAGGAAGATTAGACAAATAAAACTGCTGAGAAAGGGGCAGAGGTGTGGGGCAGAAAGGATTAGTACAGGGGAAGTTGTCTAGTGGGTAGGGTTGGGTAAAGTTCTGGGGAGATTTAATCAGAAGCAGAAAGGCCTCAGGTCTCTGGCTCTTTTACCCTCTGAAAGAGTGCTGGAAGAAGGGGCAAGAGCAAGTCCTAGTAAGTGAGAATGCATGCAGCAGTCTTCAGAGAGATCAAACCCAGGTCCTGATGACAGACTGACAGACAGAGGGAAAAGAGGGGAAACAGACAGGAACTGCTGAGATACAGGGAGGAAACACCATGGCCTCCCTGGCCATGCACAGTCACTACTGGAACCGAGAAGAGAGACCTTAAGCTAAAGCCAACTGAGGAGTGACAGGCTGTGAAAGAGCTGGGTTAGATGAGAGTCAAGTGGAGAAAGGCCCAGAACCCTGACTTGGGGAAATTAACAAGAAAGTCCCGTGTTTCTAGGGCTTGTGAGAAAGAAGGGAAAAAATATATTGCTATAGCTCAGGTTATCAGTAGTCAAATAGTAACCCCGAGGCCACATATAAAAGGGTAAAAGTGCTGAATCAATGATGAATAATTACCATGTAGTGAATAATTAATACATCACAAGGGAGAATACCAAAGTCAGCATGCAGAAATCTTGCTCAGGGTTTTGGGGTCAAGGGGCTGAGTGGGGAAGTGGGGAAAAGAGCCTTGACAGAAAACCAACACTTCTCAGAGGAGTAGGTACATGCATGCCTGTTGTTCCCTTGTCCCTGGACAGCTATGTATGGCTGGGTGGTCTAACGGAAGCCCTCATCTGTACACTAAGGACACAAAACTTAGCTAGGATTAAAAACTGACCCAAAAGAGCAAACTGCTAAAGAAGAGACTTCAGCTGTATATTTAATACCACATGATATTCATCATTATGTCCTTCTCTTGCCCCAATGTCATAGCTAGAACTTTCAGTATTATGTTGAATCGTAGTGGTGAGAGTAGACATCCCTTTCTTGCACCAGATATTAGTGGAAAGTCTTTCAGTTTTTCACTATTGAGAATGATGCTCACTGTGGGTTTGTCATATAGAAAAGGCATAAATTATACTGGTGTTGACAAATCTGGGGTTTCATAAGAGCTCCAGAATGTATCTATCATAAATATCACTCATATATACTCATTTAACTGATCTATAATAGATGTTTAATTTAAACTCTGTAAAATAAACAAGTCAAAAAATAGTAATTAGTACATATCCACCTTAACTCAACCTATTAAAGATTCAATATTTATATCTTAATTGGCCATTTCAGAATCATTAAAGTCTAAAACAGCAAGTTCATTATAGTTACCTTACTGACTTGGCCTTCAGTCATGCACTGAAGTCATGCCTGGATGCCCTGGGCAAATGGATGAGGGATACTCGACATTTCAATGGCATTTCACAGAGCAGTGATGATTCTTAACTGTTTTAAAACAGGAGAATCCAAACTCATTTTATGGAGCCAACATTACTCTAATTCCAACCAAACAAATACAATATAAAAAGAAAACTATAGATCAACTTCCCTAATGAACATAGATGAAAAAAGCCTCAGTAAATCTTAGCAAACAAATCCAACAATGCATTAAAAGGATCACGTACTGTAACCAAGTGGGATTTATACCAGGGACACAAGGATTGTTAAACAGCCAAAAAAACAATCAACTTAATTCACTACATCAACAAAAAGAAAGAGAAAAACCACATGATCACATTGTCAAATGCGGAGAAAGCATTTGATAAGATCCAAATCCATTTATGATGAAAATATTTGAAAAAATGGGAATAATTGTAACATACCTCAAAATAAATAAAAGCCATATATAACAAATGCACTACTAGTTTCATTTTCAATGGTGAAAATCTGAAAGTCTTTCTACTAAGATCTGGCACAAGACAAAGATGTCCACTCTCACTACTACTATTCAACATAATACTGGAACTCTTAGTTGGGGAAATCAGGTAAGATATAAAATGAACAAAATTGAGAAAGAAGTAAGGCTATCATTGTTTGCAGATGATATGATTGTATATAAAGAAAGAACCCTAAAAACGCCATGAAAAAACCTAATTAAAACAATAAACCTGTTCACCAAAGTGGCAAGTTATAAAATCAACACAAAATTATCAGTTGTCTTTCTATATGCAAACAATGAACTAGAAGATGGAGAAAGTAAGAAAATCGCTCCATTTACAATCACATCAAAAAAAAAAATTAAATACATAGGAGTAACCCTAACAAAGGAGGTGAAAGACCTATACAAGAAAAACTATAAGACATTATTAAAGGAAATAGTAGATAGAAGACACAATGAAATAGATAAATATTCCCTGCTCATGGATTGGAAGAGTCAACATTGTCAATATGGCCATCCTTCCCAGTATAATCCCAATAAATTTTTCAATGGCATTCTTCAAAGAAATGTGTCAAGTCTTACTGAAGATCATATGGAACCATGACAGTCAAAGGGGCACTGTTTGGTGCCCAAACAGTCAAAGAAATACTAAACAAAAAGAGGGGAGAAATGGCATTACATTTCCAGACTTCAAACTATACTATAAAGCCATGATAATTAAAACAGTATGGCACTGGAACCAAAATGGACACACAGACCAATGAAACAGAATTGAAAACCCAGAAAAAAATCCCACACATTTATGGACAACTAATCAACTACAAATGAATGAAGAATGTACACTGAAACAAGGAGAGGCTCCTCAATAAATTGTGCTGGGAAAATTGAGCTGTCACATGCAAAAGAATGAAACTAGACCACTATTTCATGCCATACATGAAAATCAACTCAAAATAGATAAAAGACATGGATGTAAAGCCTGAAATCGTAAAATACATAGAACACAGGCAACACTCCATGGCATAAACTTCAGAAACACTTTCCCAGCAGCAAGGAAAACAAAAGTGAATATTAACAACTGGGACTACATCAAACTAAAAAGCTCTGCACAATGAAAAAGAACATAACTCAAACAAAGAGACACCCTATGGAATGGGAGAAAATATTTACATACTATATATCTGACAAGGGAATGATATACAAGATTTACAAGAGCTCATACAACTTAACAAAAAGAAAACAAATAACCCAGTCAAAAAATGGGCAGAGGAAGTAAACAATTACTTCTTCAAAGAAGACATAAAGTTGTTATATAAGCACATGAAAAAAATGTTTATCATCACTTATCGGAGAAATGCAAATCAAAACCATGATGAGAGACCACCTCACACCTGTGAGAATGGCCCACAACAGACTAGAACCAAGTGCTGTGAGTGTGTGGAGAAAAAGGAACTCTCTTCCACAGTTGGTGGGAATGTAGATTGGTTCAACCTCCACAGGAAGCAATGTGGAAATTGCTCAGAAGACTAAGAATGTATCTGCCATACAACCCAGCAGCTCCACTCCTAGGTATCTACCCCCCCCCAAATACAAAAACACTAATTTAAAAGGAAAACTGTATCCCTATATTCACAGTAGCATTATTCACAGTTAGAAAATATATGGAAAACAATGGAATTCTCAAAAAATAAATGAGGGCATTAAGAAGATGTGGTATATACACACAATGGAATATTAGTCAGCAATCAAATAAGATAAACTCATGCCATTTGCAGCAACATGAATGGAGTTGGAAGGGATTATGCTAAGTGAAATAAGTCAGG